TATTACATTTTTTTTATTTTATCATTTTGTTTATATTATTTAATATATTATATTAATAGATATTTTGTTTCAAGTTAAAATCTTATATTGATTAACTTTTCAAGATGTCATTTTACTTCTTAATTGATAGCTGAATTCTTAAGCTCTTCTCAAAAAACCGCTTTATAACAGTTCAAATGTTCAATGATGTAGGAATGCTGCATCACAGAACATTATGCTTTCAAGTTAAGATTTTTCTACTCTAATAGTGCAAAGACAAGTTAATCACTTAAATATAAACAAATGGGAAATAATGTAATAAAAAGGTCTCAAAGTTGAGATAAAAGAAAACAAACTACCTAATAAGTAAAGAAATAAATGTTTTATGCATTGAATAATAAATGCATATCAGTCTGTATTGGATTTAGTCCCTTTTCTAACAGTTGTTAAAAAATTTCGTTACTAAAGCATATTTTTGTCATTTTATCAAACTTTTTGTCTTATACTAAATCAAAGGTTTTTGATTGGGTAAAAACAAAAAAAATACATAAAATGACGAAAATGTCCCTTTACTTAACCGAGTTTCTTAAGAACAGTTACATAGAGGGATCAAATCTTGATATTTTCACAAATCATAATGACCATCTTGTAAATTTGAAACTAAAGAGATGAAAGTGTTATTTTTGACAAACCAAAGGGACCAAATTTGTAGTTTACTCTTTTTTAATTTTAAAAATAAAAAAAATTCTTTTAAAAGGATTACGTCATTCCCATACGTCATTACCTCGTACCAACAAAAGTCTTTTTTCCTAATTATTTAATTTATTTATTAAAATCATAATAATAACATTTTATGAATGACAAAATAGACACCGTATAAATGAGATTTTTGTCCAATCATATGTTCTTATAAAACCTCGATATTAATATAAATGGATGCGTTTAACAACTTTCTTATACACTGATGTTCTGTTGCTTAACAAACCCCTAAGGATCAGGTTAGTGCACTGAAAATGTAAAAACAGAAGGTTGAACTTTGATTATTTACTATATGTTTTTAAAAACCTGTTAAAACTCAAGTTCACAACTTATACGTACAAACTCATAAAAGTTTTACACAAGATAAATTTCATGTGAATCTTATTCGACGAACCTTATTCCGATAAACCTTATTTGAACACAAGATACACACTGTGATACCTACAAACGATATTCATTGTGATACTGATACCCATATATACATACAAGATGCATAATGTGACACCTTGTGTAAAACAACGAAAATGTACATTATGATACATTTCATAAAACAAAACAAAAAAAATGTTTTGTGATACACATGAAACATTGTGAATGTTATCACTATAATACACTTTGATTCACAAATGTTTTTAAAATATGATGTATATTAGGTAATTGAATACTAGGTAACTAACTTTAATAAAGTATTTAATTCTGAAAAAATCTAATTAAGTATTTTGTTTAGTTGTCAAAAATAGAATTACTATATTATCCTTTTAATTTATTTAAGAAATATCCTTAAATATCTCAAACGAGCAGTTCATATTGGATTTCATGGTTATCACAATCTAATCAGTTCTTCTTTGAATGAGCCTATATATATGTATTTCAATTTTGTTATATATATATATATATATATATATAGAGAGAGAGAGAGAGAGAGAGAGAGAGAGACTTGGGATCATGTGAGACCAATTGTTTTTCGTGAGACCCGTAAGACCAATTCTCAACCTTTGGATTAGATCTACAATCGTCAGATCTGAAAATTCATAAATGCCATGAGACTTCTCAATAATTACAAAATTGCCACCGTACAAATTTAGGCCATTAGATCATATGCTTATAAAGTTGATCAATGAACATAAATTGGTCTTACGGGTCTCACGTGAACCCAACCATATATATATATATATATATAATAAAATGTTATAATTGACTAATTTTCTAACACATTTAATTTCTTTGACAATTTACAATTCGTAACTAACTTATCAACTATTTTACCATATATAGTTAGTTCATAAAATATATTTTCAATTAACAGCTAGCTTATAAATTAACAATTATTTTATCAGCTAACAACTATCTTATTAGTTAGTTTACAAAACATAACCTTATGCATTAATCTAATATAAATCACACGATAACTATGATTTTATTGAATACAGACAGTATAAAAATAAGATTGAACTGAAATAGAATGAGTTTTTTTTTTGTCAGGTGTCTCTTTGGAAACTTAGATGACCAAAAAGTTTTTCAAAAAGGACAAATTGTATGAAAAAACAACGTACTTTAATTTGATTCATATTTTGGACAACGTACTTTCAAAATTTTTATTTTGATACCTAAGATGTACAGTTTTAAACATTTAAATACCCGAGTAACCGTGAAACAGCCCCTAAATCTGCATTTATATATAAACAAAAAGCAATAAAATTTATCTTCTAACTAATATTCTTTTTTAACTTTATCTTTCTGATTATAAGATAATTAATATTTAGTAAAAATTATTTAATTTCATTTTTTTCATCATCAACTTTTCTACAGTTTATCAATACCGTAGAACATCTTTTCTCACGGTCTCAACCAATTTGACTATGGATGATTTTTTTAAAAATAAAAAGGAAAAAGGAAAAAGAAATTAGCAATCTCATCTGAACCCGATCACCACACGAACCTAAATTGTAATTTTCCGTTCTATTTTATATACCACGTGTCACATTGCCATTGGTCAAGTTATATTTTTATTTTATAAAACTTATCAGATAGAAAAATGACTTTAAGAAAAAAAATTAAAAATAATAAATATATCAAAATTCATTGTTTTCAATTTCATACAAATAGAGCCTAATATTGATATATTTTCATGACACCAATCTTTCTCTTCATTTCAATCCTCTTGTTTATCTTGCAAATTTCAAAAAAAAAACTTTCAGTTTCTTTTAATTTTTTTTTCTATGGTTAATCAATTGAATTCTCTACTAAACGGATTTCGAATTTATCTCGTTATATGGCTAAGAGAGAACAACTTCACAATAGAGAAGCTCATAACGATCTAAAAAATAATTTGATTAAGCATATATGACAAAAATTCGGTCATGATAATTAACTACAATTATTTATGTATCTCATATATGTAATTTCGTACTTATTTTTATGACTTGTTTTATTTAATTTCAATTATATGGTAATTTTTTTTAATAATAATTATGTTTTAAATTATGTAATAGNATTTTAATCCTCTCGTTATGGCAAAAATCCGGTCATTCGTACTTATTTTTATGACTTGTTTTATTTAATTTTAATTGTATGATAAGTTTTTATAATTACAATTGCGTTTTAAAACATGTAATAGTCCATTTATTCTATTCTTATACTTAAAATTAAAAATTAATAATTATAAATAAAAAAAAGTAAATATATGATTATTACAAAATAATATTTTTGATTAAATTGTGGTTAAATGATAAAAGAAGTAAGATTAGATTAAAGTTGAAGATTGTTTAGGTAGATAAGTAATATTTTAATTGAGATTGAGTTATAAAAGATTGTCAGTAAAGACAGTCTTATCATCTTAAAACATCTTCAAAAGAATCTTGAAAATTTTCTTTAAAATGAATAATTTAAATACAAAATTTCCAAAAAAAAAAAATTTTAAACTCCAACATATTCTCTTTTTCATAATTACAATATTGACCATAAAAATATTCCATAAATTAAAAAAAATATATTTTTTCCCCATAAAATTTGATATAAAGATTTCTTTTGGGTAAAAATTTAATAAATTAATTATTTTTCTCTCATGCTAATCATTTTTTAAAAATTCTCTAAATTTGAAAAAATTTACACTCTCTCTCATACTTTCTGTATTTTGGAGAAGGTTTCTACGATTATACAGAAACAAAATTTGCCCAAAATCTTCATTTTCTGTATTTTGAAAAATATGTTGGAGACAGAGCATCTCCAACAATTTATACCCAATTTCTTTAAAATTGAAAGACAAAAGTCAAAATCTCCATAAAAGAATTACATACATCGAACTCCAACAGCTTCTCAATTTTACAGATTTCAACATTAATTAATTACTAAAATATTAAATAATATAACAAAAATATTTTATCTTCTTTCATTTAATTTCATCGGTAAGTTGAAGATACATTTATTAGGATAACAAAATGGAGTTATTAGAGAATCCGTCCAGATTTGAAGAAAAAAAAAATCTACCCCTTCTGCTATTTTCTTCATTTTGAAAAAGCTGATGAAGCAAAAAAAAAGGTGATAAAGCTAAAATACTTCATTTTGAAAAAACTGTTGGATATGATCTTAGAGCATCTAAAACTGATTTTTCAAAATGAAGATTTTAAGGCGATTTTTTGCTTTAAAATATTCTGTAAAACTCTCTAGAAAATTAAGTAGAAGATAGGGAAAATCTGATAAAATTCTCTGAATTTGAATAATCTATAAAAAAGATTGTTTAGGAGAGAGAAATGATTTTTTTTTTATTTTTACCAATAAAATTCATTAAAATTAATATTTAAGAGAATAGAATATATATTTTTACTAAATATTTTAATAATATAATAATATATCTTAAAATATAAAATATATTACCTTTTTATATTTTAATTTTTTAGTATCATCTATACTATATTATAAAGCATTTGATAAAAACTCTTAAAAATCATTTTTTATGCATTAACTATTGTATATTGATGCATATTACTTACAATTCAAAATTACAAGTAATTATGCATGTACTTATTAAAGCTCCATATTTGAGAACATAATCAAATAAATGATACACATCTTATTTTAAAATATAAAAATCTAAATTATAATTAGGATAATTATCGAGTTGTAACAAAATAATTAATTATTATTTTTATAAGAAAGTTATATTATTGAACCAAATATAAAAAGTCATTATTTTTTCAAAAATCACATAAGACCATATTATAACATCGACTGAGATAAATAATAAAACGAAACATTAAAATCAAGATTTATTTCGCTGCATTGCACGAATACCTTTCTAGTATATTTTAAATAAATTCAAAAAAAAAAACTTAACTTTTTCAACAAATTTTTTGAAAAGACCTTAATACCCACATACAAAAAGCAATCTTTTTAACGATCTACAACTATATAATAAATAAAAAAAAGGGTTTTTTTTGTCCTAAAAGATGTTTTGCTTTAAATACATATATTATAAAAATAAAAAAAATAAAAAAAATATTATATTTAATTTTCAACCTAAAATCTAAATTTAGTAGAAAGTGTAGTGAGTGAGAACACAATGAATGTATTTGGAGGTGGATTTTGTTGGGAGTAGTTTTCAAGTCAAACGCAACTTTCCCTCATCTCTCCACCTTTACTGTAATAAAACCCCAAAGATTTCAACCTTTTTAACCCCACCAAAATCTTTCTAATCTTCACCACCACCACCACCACCTCCGGCCACCGTTGCTAGAGCTTCCTTTTCACAATCCAAACCCATCAATGGCAACTTCCGACAACAACAACTCTACTTCCAAAATCAAGTTCATGTGGAACAACACCAACAACCGTCAAGTTTTATCATCTCCGATCACTGTTGTTGATCACCATGATCATCGTCTTCATCTTCAACCACAAAATGTAGGGTTTGAATCGAAGGTGAAATCTGATGTTCTTCCAGAAGGTTCTGGAAAATCGCGTGCTGCTGCTGGTGGGGGTGGTAATGGGAACAGTAGCATGCAAACCCACCAGTACCCGGTTCGATCCGATGCGAAAGATTGCTTGTTTTTTGTTCATACTGGTTCGTGTAGTTTCGGGTCGTCTTGCAGGTTCAATCACCCATCTCCGGTATATATACTCTTTATCTTCAAGTTTCACCTTCATTTCGTGATGGATTTTGCTTTAGTTTTAAAAAAAATCCATGAATTAATCGTAGATTTTGGTGGGTTGGATATATATATATATATATACATATATGTACACACACACACACACACATATGTACACACACACACACACACACACACACATATATATATATATATATATATACTCATGTGTAATTTTGTTGATGTGTATCTGTGTTCTGGATATTGATATGTATGTATATATGCATATGTATAATTTTCTTGATGTAAATATGTGTTCTTGAAATTGCAGGTTGATGATGACAAGGAAAGAAACAATGGAAGGCATTCTGGAAAATCATTTGAGAATTCACCTCGGACTCCATGCAAGGTATAAATTTGGTATCATGTGTGAGAAAAAATTGTTTTTGTGATAGTGGTTTTTCATGGCAAAACATTGTGAAGGTAAATTTTCACAATTTCTTTTATGAAGTTTCGATATTTTTTACACATCCACAATGTTTTGCTGTGAAGATTCGGATGCAATTTCATGGTCTCATGGATCTTATAAAAACAAACCGGTCTCACTTGAACCCAACCCATAAGTTTTATATATGTATATAATTTATTAGATATAGATTTCAATAGATTTGTGGGTATGTGTTTTGATGTTTACAATTTTTGATTTTTGTAAGTTTTGGGCTTTGTTCTTGAATGATTTTCTTAAAGAAAACCTTAACTTTTTAAATGAACGGAATGTCTGGATCAACTAGTATATACCTGATTAATCTTATGAGATTCTAAAAATAACAGTATGAGATTAATGTGTTACGGGTTTTACTAATGATGAAATGCAAGTATACGTCTATATAGATTCTTCGTTATTATATCCAACGATCTAAATCTGATATCGACAACAAAGATTTCAAGATATATTTATGATCAATAACCTAACAAAATGCTAGTTTGATCTTGATCGACAACCATGTAAAAAAGTCTTTTCTATAATAGCGAGCCATTACAGTACTATCTATATACAAACCGAATAAACACAGTATATCCCATTTGTAATTGGGGTCTGGGGATGGTACTGTACACAGATTTGACCTCTATTTAAACAGTAGAACACATATAATTCCCCTCATCTTTTCAATTCGTATCATACAATGCTGCAGTTTTACCTAGCTGGAATCTGCAAGTATGGAGCATCTTGTAGATTCAATCACGCGATGCCATCGGCTGAACTGATGCAGCTCCAACAATATAACTCTCTCGCATTGCCATTCCGTTTGGTAATATATGTTTCATTATATGTTCTTTTGCAATACCATCTGGGAGGTTGGGCTCTACCAGTAACCTTAATACAGCGGTAACCTGTATTGGGAACCGTGTACTGATAACCCTGATAACGTATACTAACTTTGGTATACTGCTGACCCAATGACCCATTGGTTTGCAATACCATCTCACCGTTGGTTATATTATGTTGTTAATTTAACCAGGGTGAGAAGATATGCTCTTTCTATATGCGTACTGGTCTATGTGGGTTTGGTGCCGCATGTAAGTTTCACCACCCGGAACCGGTATTCATCAAAGGGCCTAAAAACCGTAATCCATATGCGAGTCGTGAAGCTATGAAGTACACAAATGGATCTGCGAGAATCACTAATGGAGGATATATTATTCAGTTCCCAGATTCGCCTCAACAATACATTGCGACTCCGATGGTAGATCACAGTAGCTTTCAGTACATGCCTTCGCCCGATTATGGATGGAATGGATATCAGGTATATATACGACCATATACATACATAGGGTTGGGTTCACGTGAGACCAAACTGTTTTCGTGAGACTGCTTCTTTACATTTGAAACTTCACAGCAAAAAGCTGTGAAGGTGAAAATAAAACCGAACCTTCACAGCAAAACACTGTGAAAGTTACCTTCACAACGTTTTACTGTGAAGTTTCAAGTGTAAAGAAGTGATATCATGGGTCTCACGAAAACAGACTGGTCTCACGTGATCTCAAGTCTCTCTCTCTATATATAGAACCACTGTATATGCTGAGATTGATTGGTGGCAAGAAGTTCTTTTAAGTTTACGTATGTGTAAAAGTGTTATAATAACTTGATGGAACGTTTTTGGATATTCTAAAAAGTTATTTATATCATATACAAAGATTGATGGGACATTTTATTAGAAAAGTGTCATAAAAGACTTGTTTATATAATGCAATATAGACTTGAGATCATGTGAGATCAGACTATAGGAAACTGTGAATTCACAATAAAACTTTACCTTCATAGTGTTTTTGCTATGAAACTGTGAGTGTTTTGCTGTGAAGTTTCAATGTTATTTTGTGGTTTAACGGGTCTCACATGAACCCAACCTTATATATATACACACATACATTTGTCGTTCTGATACCATATATGTTATGCGACATGAGAAGGTTCCACAACTCAACCAAGAAATCCAGCTGTCGTCTTCCGCAGTTCAAGTGGCAAATTTCTCTTCTGTAGCTCCGGCAGTCGTGGACGCGAAAAATACTGCCGACTTTCCTCCGTTAAGCAGGCCGTTGGTTCTTTCGAAACCCGTTGTTGAGCTTCCTAAAACAAGCAAGCCATTGGTTCTCAATGAAGTTGGCCTCCCAATGCGACCTGTAAGCATTCAAACCATTAATCATTATCTATGAAACAACAATATAAATATTTATAAACCAGTTTCACATATGAAACAACACTGTATAAATACTGTATTTTTTTTTCTTAACAGGGGAGAAAAGTGTGTTGGCACTATGACAGTTCAGGTGAATGTAAGTATGGTGCTGATTGCATATTTGATCATCCACAAAAGAGTGTTGAAAAAGGGTGCACATCCAAGTCTGGTTTAGGTGGTGCTGGTGAAACCCTAGGAACCGAAGAGAAGTAGAATCGATATATCGACACAATGAAGGAATAAAGTTCGGGACATGATATATATACACATATATATACATATAGATCGGTCTGTCTTATAATGCATGCGGTAACGTGGAGTTTTAGTTTGAAGTTGTTGTCTTTTCGGTGTGTTTGATGAAACTATGTACTTTCGTATGGATATGTTGTTGTTTAAACATGCGGATGGATTGTGTCGATGGATATATATTTATGTTTCGGTGTTTACATGTTTGCGTATGTGAGAAAACTTGCTCGCGATGTTTAAAAGGGAAAGTTTATATATTTATGTGAGTGATTTTGTCTGGATTTATGAAGTTTTTCGATAGATTTACAAGTACTTGCAGGTTGAAGGCAAAGGTTTGTCCATCAGAGAACGGTGATTATGCTCGATGTCTGCTCTGATACCATGTAGAATATTTTTAATATTGATTTTTTTTATATATTTAAATCATACCACAAGACCATTCTTTATATATGTTTTGTTGAAATTGTAAAATTGGTGGCTGAAAATCTTGAATCAAGTGACTTTTCGTGCTGTATTTGATTTGCCGAATTTTAACTACCGATTGAGATCCAACGACGTTGAAACTGGAAGGAAAAATGATGGAAGAATCGAGCTAAACGCCAATCGTAGCGTTTGTGGCGACGCAAAACGGAAGTATGCTAAATACGTTCTATCAACTATATATAGTAAATATATGCTTTGAGAGGGAAAACGAAATATTTCTGAATAATTTTTAGGTATATGTATATATATAGACTTGAGATCACGTGAGACTAACATGTTTTCGTGAGACTACTTTTTTACACTTGAAACTTCATAACAAAACACTGTGAAGGTTACCTCCTTCACAGTGTTTTTGTAACCTTCACAGTGTTTTTGTTATGATCAGGTTCAACTTCTTTTACCTTTACAGCGTCTTGCTGTGAAGTTTCAAACGTAAAAAAATGGTCTCACGAAAACATGTTGATCTCACGTGAACCCAACCATATATATATAGGTATGACAAAAACTCAAAATGATTCCTTAACTTATCAAAGTTATGTATTTAAAAATAACACGTGGTTGAAGAAAAACCCTAATTAATTTCATGTGATTTACACTAAAAATGGCGAAAATCTTGAGCATCAAAAGATGGATTGTTTGAAGTTTGCATGTTTTTCGAAACGTTTGTTACGTCCCCAATGTTTCATAACGTAAAGCTCTTCAATCTGTCTTCCGCATAAAAGGATTACATGCCGTTTGAAGGGGAAAAAAGAAGTAAATTACTAGAAATGATGGTCAACAAATAATGAAATTATCTGCGAGGCTACCAAATGGAGTCATGTGCTAACTGATGCTTCTGAAATACGAAAAATCAACTTTGAGTTTGAGGCAATAACTACTACGGATAAATAACGTCCGTTCTCATTAAATGGATTTCAAAGGGTTTTGCCGAAGCTACTTTCACAACATCAGTTTTCGTACTTCGATGCCACCCTACATAGAGGATGATCTAGGTCATGATTTTGACGTATGCAACGATGGACGAGTCTTTTTACTTCTATGTCTATTACTGATCGTAGAATCAGCCATCAATGTCCCCTTCTGAAGATTGCGAACCGTATCAAGAATCATGTCTTGTAAGTTTCAGTTGAATTGCAAATATAATTGTAAAGCTTGACCTGTCGTTGGATCTAGTTTACACGAATGTGGATTTAGGGTTAAGATTTGTTTTATAGAAGGTTAGCGATGGAACAGACGACGAGAACCTCATTGGAGTTCTTCGAAGAAATATTGCATTCTGGGTTTGTTTTGATCACTTGTGCTTATGCTTACTTTGGATGCATTTCGTAAATCCTGTTATTTAAGTAATTAATTTATAAATAGAATTGAGGCTTTAGATACAGTATTTCTTTCTCTTTCGTATGGGCTAAATATGAAAAGTAGATAGATTCTCGATTTCTGGTTCTTTGGGGATTGAAAATAGGAATGGTTATTATACTGATATAATTTGTTTAATACTAGAAATAGGGAAGATTATTGCATAATATACGGTTCTTTCTTTATCTGTTCTCATTTCATTTGATAAAAATTTAAAGCAGTTGATGATATGATGAGAATCAAGAAAATTTCACAAACCAGCTAACAGGGTTTTAGGTATAAACTCAAGATTTTACATGTGGTATGTTTCCACAAAATGATAGATGATGATAAAAACGTTATAATTACACAGCAGAGGTCGGTACTGCGTGACACCATAGGGTAGTGAAGGCATGAGGTTTTAGGCTATGGGACAGTATTCAAGTAGTTCATCGAGTAAAACGTAGGGTAATTTCGAAATGGAAAGAGGTGTTTTATCTGATTACCGTTGTGTGCGACATGATCTTCTATTCGTTACATTCATTTAACCACGCCCCCTCCTTTTTAATTTTTATTAAGAAATAGTTCTTTTAGAGTATGTCCAACATATTCTGCAATATAGATAAATGGAGAAGGGCAAATTGCATGAAAAAAGTAACGTACTTGACTTGATTCATATTTTGGGTAACGTACTTTCAAAACTTTCGTTTTGGTACCCAAGATATAAATTTTTAAACATTTAAATACCTGGGTAACTGGTTGAAGCATTAACCGGTTATCATGCAGATATGACGAGTGATGTAGGATCCAATTCATTATTATATGCTGACGTGGTTAGTGACATGAATTTTTTTAAATATAAAATTAGTCTTTTTTTAATCTAAAATTAGTATTCAACCGGTTACCCTATAAATGTTTAAAACTTTACATCTTATATATCAAAATGAAAGTTTTGAAAGTACGTTACTTAAAATTGGAATCAAGTTAAAGTACGTTACTTTTTCATGCGATTTGCCCAATGAAGAATTAGGTTAAAATATCCTTTCCAAATTTTCAAAAACTTTCTCTAAAACAGAGAAACGAGAGATGGTGTAAAATTCTTCAAATTTAGAGAATTTTTTTAATTACTTAAACGTATTCAAAAGATTTTTCAAAGTTCTCCAAAATAAAGCATCAAAAATCAAAATCTTTACAAAAAGATTACATTGAACTCCAACAAATTCTCCATATTTAGAGATCATAACATTAATTATATTATTTAAATATTTAATAATATATATTATTTTCTCTACTAAACATTTAATTTAAAATACTTTTATTGGTGACAATAATAAAATATCATTTTCTCTCTCCAAAGCAATAAATTTTAAAAGGTTCTCCAAAATTTGGACAAAGTTCTAGAGAATTTGTAACCTCCATTTTTTCCGTTTTGGAGGTTACTCTGAAAAGATTAAAAATGTTGAATACAATGATAACCAATCTCAATCATCTGATAAGATTATAGAAATATAAGATCCACGGTGATTAATTTCTTACATTATAGTTTCACATGTATTTATTTTATATGTCAAATAGTGAAACCTACAAACATGTATCGTTTTACTGGTTAACACAGTTGTCAGCATTTTTTAGGTCCTTATTTATTTTCCGTCACTAAAATCATCTGAAACAGGTTTTCAAAAATTTCTTTAAAATATAGAATCAAAATTCAGAATCTCTAAGAAAAATAAATTTAATTTCAACAATTTATTTATTGTGGAGATTATAAAATTGATTCTATTATTAAAACATGTCATAAATGTAATAAAATATTATTTTACTCTCTTAAATATCTGATTTCAGAGTTTATTATCAATGGAATATAATAAAAAAATTCTCCTTTTTGGTAATATTTTTTAGGAGTTTTACAGATTTGGAGAAAAACTGTAAAATTAACTGAATCAAAGAACTTGTACAAAATTGGCAAATTAGGGGTGTTCATGGGTTGGATTGATCGGGTTGGAGATATTTGAATAACCTAATCTAATGTTTGCGGTTTGAAAATTTTAACCCAACCCTAAGGCAAAGTATATCATTTTATGAAACATTCTTTTATGATAATGATGGTATTTAACATTTATACATAATTAATGAGTTGGGTTCTTGTGATAATGAGAGTTAAGGTGAGAAATATAAGAAGAGATACCGATCATTGGATAAATATTCGGATGAGATGCATTAGATCAATCCCCTTATCAAATGCGGTTCATGAATGGATTTGAGATTAAAAGTGATTAAGGATCCAGATCGTTTCTCATCTTAACTCTCTTTCTCATACGATCATTCGCTATTAATTAATTGGGTTCATATAAAGCGTCTATTTTTCATATTAACCCAATATTTTAGTAAATAAAAAGCACCGGTTTCAAAATTTTACGTCTTATTTTTGTCCAACGGCAAACTTTAGATTTTTGTTAAGTGGGTGCACCTTTAATAACAAAGACTTGCAAAGTCGTACAATATGTTTTTAACCGAATTCCACTATTTCGAAGGATTTTTTGGTTGATTTCGAGATATTTTAAATGTTTTGGTTGATTTCAAGAAATTTTTTATGTTTTTTTGGTTGATGTTCTTTTTATTTTTTATTATCTCGAGACACTCCTCAAAGTTATCGAATGCATTTTTATACATAAAAAAAAAATCTTGTGAAAATAAGTTAACCGGATACACGGATTCTCACTTGGGACATCATAGGCATGTCCTACCAATAAAATCAAGATACATTAAGTTTTTTTTTCTTTAATTTCTTATTTACATTCTCTCTCATATTATCTGTGAGTGAAAGAAAAGATGGCTACTTACCGGATGTTTATAGACAAGAAACATCACTCTCATTTATTTATGGGCAGGGACGGACCCAAAAATTTTCCCCCAAACGGTGACACCATTTGACTATACGAAATAAATATATGAATGTTTTTCAAAACATCACCATTGGTACGATGGTTAGTTCATTATTTTTCATATGTGATGTTCTACGTTCAAGCCTTTTATTGCAATTTTTTCCTCCAAAAAACATAATAAATCTGAAATTAAAAGCTAAAAACTAAGAAAATAACACTAATGGGATTCAAACTCGTGTCTGGGGAGAAAGAGAAATCTTGAAAACCAATTTGACCAAGAGAAATTTGTGTTCTCATTGTGTTTTCAAAATATATACAGTGACACATAACAAATTAATTTGGTAACTCTTTTCACATCCCTTTAATTTTTTATACTACGACAGAACGAAACGTGACACGTGCCACCACAAAATCCCCCCTAGGTCCATCCCTGCTTAAGAGGTAACATTTTCGACTATCAAAATGATTTTTAGCTCGTTAAATATTGCTTATCGAATAAGATACCACCTTTACTTACCAAACTTGATTTTTGTCTTCCTTTTTATTGTATACGATTTTCGGTCTTTTTATGTTTATTCATTAATTGAACTGATAAAAGTTTACCAAAATAACTGTTTAGTAAAGGATAGTAGGAGGCTGTTTGTCAGTTGGTGAATGCTTTAGTGCAAAATAAATAAATGGTCGGAATGATTAAAAAACTTTTATAATTGTTTGTTAATCATTCAGAATGAAATCATGATGCTGAATGATTAAGAAAGACCCAAGATACAAAGTCATTTAAAGGATTTTATAACCATTAGGAAGTAGACATTTTTTTACCAAACAAGATTCATCTATTAACCATTTAAAAATTGTCTTTTAATGAAACTATTAAGAATAAAGAAACAAGTCATAAATATTTATATAAAGATTTTGATTAACTAAAAATGGCTTAACATGGGATTTAAAGTCGTTACGCAAATAGCGATGTTTATTGGTGGTTATTTGTTCCACGCGCACACCACACGACCCTACGCTCCTCCGACGGCTCTTCTCTTGCCACGTCATCACCGTCGCCGGTCATATTTCTTCCTCCCCACGCAATCGTAGCATGTTCACTAAATCTCCGCTCCTTTTCCAAAAATACCCTTCAAGTATCCCCATAATTACAACTCCTCTCCACCCAATGACGGTTTACTTCCTTCATAAACCCCCACCCCTTATTTACCCATTTCGATCATTTAACCACCTCCCCGCCATCACCTTCCATTAATGGCGACTGGTTTGTTACGCAGAGGTATTTTCAAGGTTCCGACGTCGTCGTCGGCGACGGCGAGGGCTAAGCTTTTGCTTTTCCGATCTCATGCTTCCGAGTCCCATGGTCAACAATCGGAGTCCACCTCCCGATCCACAAAAAACCTCAAAAACTTCCAAATCTACCGTTGGAATCCCGATAATCCCGGTAAACCGGAGCTACGAAACTACGAGATCGATCTCAAGGAGTGTGGACCGATGGTTCTCGACGCACTGATCAAAATAAAAAACGAAATCGATCCAACCCTAACTTTTCGTCGGTCGTGTCGCGAGGGAATCTGCGGATCGTGTGCTATGAATATCGATGGATGTAACGGATTGGCGTGTTTGACGAAGATTCCGACGTCGGAGGAGACGACGACGACGACGATGGTTACTCCTTTGCCGCATATGTATGTGATTAAGGATCTGGTGGTGGATATGACGAATTTCTATAATCAGTATAAGAGTATTGAGCCGTGGTTGAAGCGTAAGTCTCCGGCGCCGGCGAGTTGGGAAGGGAAAGAGATTCGTCAGAGTAAGAAGGATCGAGCGAAACTGGATGGAATGTATGAATGCATATTGTGTGCTTGCTGTAGCACTTCATGCCCTAGCTATTGGTGGAATCCTGAATCTTACCTTGGACCAGCTGCTCTTCTCCATGCCAACAGGTAAAAATACAGTTTTCAACAGGTTAATTAACAGGTTAATTAACGAGACTAACATCTTATTCGGTTAGCTATAATGACTCTGTTTGGTCGTAGATTAATGATATAGAAAGTGACTTATTCAGTAACCTAGTTTTATATAGAAAACCAAGTTTTTTCAAAAACTGCCTCGTCCCGTAAAAAACACTTTCTTTCCATAGGCGGACCAGTTAAGGGCACATATGGTGGCACGTGTCACCGTAAATCTCTTTGTCATATGGTAGATTTTTTTAGCTTTGTGAAGGGTGTAACCTTAGTGTCTTATTGTTTTAGAAGGTGCAACCATTGTTCTATATGGTGCCACCATAAGGAAAAATTCTATGTCTATCCCTAATTCTTTCCATCTATAATAAAAAATCTTCCAAACAGAACTCTTCTCAATTTATACAGGTAGATTAATCCGCACCAACAAATTTATCTCTACAATACTTGTTTGTTAGCAACTTAACGAGCTTAATGAGATTCATATATAGCTTATTCGGTCTAACTATATAACTGTTTGGTAATGACTTAATGATATAAAAAAGTGGCTTATTCGATAAGTTTATAAGAGAGAGGTTTATATAGAAAGTCAAGTTTTTTTTCCCCCAAACATACCACTCCAAATTAAAAAACACCCTTTTTCCATATATAAAAAACTCTTCGAAATAATCCAAAATAACGATTTTATCCATACATAAATTAATGAAAAACCAACCAAACAACCCTCTTAATGAAAACCAACCAAATAGCCCTTAAATTTCACTTGTACCATCAACGATGGAGACAATAATGAATATTTTGGGCTCATAATTAAGGGAAGAATTAAAAATTGAACATTTACTTTTGAAAGGGGATACGAGAAATGTGGACATTTGTTTTGGCCTTTTGGGTAGGAGGGAGTAATATTTGCATATTGCAAAACTCATATAGTCGTGACTTTTTTTATGTGGTTTAAACTATTGACCTTTGTGAAGGTTGAAATTTACGAGTAGCAACATGAGGGTCAAGGTCACGGTCAGACGCATATAAGCATGTTGTTCTCTAGTTCAAAAGATAGAGTGGTCGATTATGAATATTTGCTAAGTACCATGAATTGAATCATTTTGATTAGTACCATTGAATGGATGTAATAAGTTGATATTTCTTTTAATTTAGGTGGATAATGGACAGTCGTGATGAGTATACAAAGGAACGTCTAGATGCAGTAAATGATGAATTCAAGTTGTATCGTTGTCACACGATTTTGAATTGTGCTCGTGCGTGCCCGAAGGGATTGAACCCTGGAAAGCAAATCCAAAACATCAAGAGTCTTCAAAGCTAATTGGCAACAATTCATCGTTTTCTTATCATTGTTTATATTTGAAGATCTTATTAACTTTTGTTGTTTGTTTGTTAATAATAATTGGTGGTCGTGTTCGTATCAGGTTGTTATGCTGTAATAAATAAAATTTGTGAGATCATCTAGCTTCATGGATGAACATTTGTTCATTTAAGTCTTCATTGCTACCATTCGTCATGGATTCTCGAGAAATGAAGTGAACTTAAACCTAACTAAATGAAATCAATTACACCTAGAGAGAGTAGTGTCTGAGGATATGATGTGCATATACTTTGCATCTATTTTAATGGATGAGATGAAATTTGGCTAAATAGCAAATAATACTGAGTTAGATACCACACCACTCGCCACATCACCATGGTAATTGGTTCATGCTTCAACCGATTACTCGTGTACGTAAATGTTTAAAACTTTACATTTTAGGTACCAAAATGAAAGTTTTGAAAGTATGTTACCTAAAATAGGAATCAAATTAAAGTACGTTATTTTTTCATGCAATTTGTTGTTTTGTAAATATCTATAGAGGTATAAAAAAAATACAAAAGAACTAGAAGTAGTAAAAAGGCTTTCAAAACACTAAATCCTCTTTCCAAGAAATCTTTATTGGAATGGTTTTAGAAATAAACACAGTTTAATTTTGTTGTACTGTTTTATATATATATATATATATATATATATATATATATAGGGGAGCGATCAAATGCAAACCACTCAATTTGTACAAACCGTGCAAACCGCATTCAACCAATCATAATTTTTCATTTTGTTCATTTTTTTGTAATTATGAGAGGTTGATTAATCAATTTTATTGTGGAGGGTGTTAATCATAGATATTATCATCTTCATTATTTTAATTTTAGAGAAATACATGAAACAGTTTGTTAATCATAGATATTATCATCTTCATTATTTTAATTTTAGAGAAATACATAAAACAGTTTCATTAAGTATTATATGAAACAATTTCACAACCATATATGAAACAATTTCATCAAAAAAAGTATTATATGAAACAATTTCACAAGATTAAACAATTTCATGAAAAAATTTCATAAGATTAAACAATGAAATCGACAGATGAAGGTGGTTTGCACGGTTTACACAAATGAGGACGGTTTTCATATGATCACTCCTCTCTCTCTCTCTCTCTCTATATATATATATATATATATATACACTATTTTATTAAGTAAATTTAACAAAAGTCTTAAAGTCTTAAAATACTAAATGACCAAGATACCCTTTATACTATCTTTACTCACTTTTTCACCCCCTCCTCTCCTCACATACACTAACCATCTCACAACCGATTTTTTTTAAATTATAATTTAAATTTACACTTTATACCCCTATAATTAGTTAATTAATTTACTTTACGTTCTTTACTTTTAAATGTTTCATTTTAAACCTTTATCAAATTAACATACATAATCGTATATCAATTAAAACATGTTTAAAAAATACATTTTTATTTTAACAAGTTACACCATTATAATCGTCTCGTTAATACCTTTCGAAATGAGTCCAATATTGAATAGTTTTTTACTTAATTATATTATTATATATTATATATACTATGAAAAAATATTTTTAATATTTACGATGTATACTTTTATAGTTATTTATTTATGTATATACTATATATTTTGGGGTTAGCCTGTCCAAATTGCACTTATAATATGTTCTGAATTAATATGTTCTTGGGTTTCTTTGAAATATATATATATATATATATATATATATATACACACACATGCATTAGTTCAACCTTAATCTGAGTTTCTGGACAAGAAAGATGGTAAACAGTTGAAATTTCTTTCTAAAACCCATTTTTTGTGTCTTTTCATGGCTTATGATTTGTCAAATTTATAGTTTTTTTTATTGGTTTTAAGTGTTTATCTTAAAACTCAAGTTTCTTGGTTCTTTGCTCTTGGTGTAAATCGAACACATTTGTCGAGTCGTTTAAATATGTTGGATTTTAAATATATTAGATTTTAAACTGTCATACAAATTTTTTCATCGATAGTCTGTAATTGGAATCATAACTCTTATTTATTCAAATTGTATTAATATGTAAATACCAAGTGTAACCTATATCATCGTTAAATCTTATCTTATAAAACCAGTGAAACTTCAAAATCGTTAAAATTCATGGCTCCTGCCGCATTGCGCGGGTACACAACTAGTATATATATATATATATATATATATATATGCCCCGGTGCTTATGCTTTTTTTACTTGTATTTTTACGATAACTATTTTTTAGTCTCGGTTCTTTTTTTTCTTCCGAAAGGTCTTCGTAATTTACCCTTTGGCCTCAAGTTCTACCCTACTTTTCAATTTCTTCCTTTCTTTAACAAACTTTATGAAACACTCGGTTTTCACTAAAATACTTTTTGCAAAAGTAACAACTGCTCTACCATTTTAGGGTAAATCTTAAGTCTGTATATATCTGACTTTTTAGACCTTACTTATGAATAGATAATTTAGCACTTTGACATACATGCAAGTTGCAACCATCTATGGTTTTGTATGTTACTGTAGCAACTAATCAGATAACATTGATTCTTTAATCTTCATTTATCAAGTGAAAACATGTTTTAACAGATAGATTATAACACATATCAGTATTATATGTAATTATTAAAACATATAAACCCTTTTGGGTTTAACTCCATATACATGAATCATGGTGTTAGCATTGTAATGTTGATAAAGATATTTGGTTTTCCAAAAATGTACATCATCAAATGTATGACTCCACCACCAATTTCTTTAGTATTAGACTAACTCAAGTACCATAGTTTTGGGCAATCATGTCATTTGAGTTAGAGATTCTTCACACTCCCTAATTCTCAACAACATCTCCAAACAAACTTTTTATAAGTTAGAGTAATTTCCATTTTTGGTCCCTGAACTTTTATCTGTTTTAAAGTATATCATCTCTAAACTTCATTATCTCAAGTTTGTCCACGAAAGTTTGCAAAATCTCTTGGTTTTAGTCCCTTCTTAGACATTTCATTTATATATTTAAAAAAGAGGGGAAGTGGAAAATAAACAAAATGCCCTTCATTTAATTGAATCTAACAACAGAACATAATGGCCGTTAATGGGAGAGATGAAACCAAGAGATTTCGCAAATGTATGGTACAAATATACAATAAATTAAGTTTAGGGTTATTTTTGTCAAAATGGACAAAGTTCAAGAACCAAAACCGAAATTTACTCTATAAATTATGCCACCAACATTCAAATCTCTCCATGAAATCCATGTTAAATTTGGTCTTTAGAAACCCATGAAGTTACTACTCTTAACAGTGGCTTGGTTTTTGGTATGTTTTCAGGTTGGAGCAACAACACGGTCACCATCTTTCATCAATCCACAAGAAATCGAACCGTTAGACTACTTCCTTGTTACAGGTGATGTTCAGACTTCAAATCTTTCTTTACGAATGTCGTGCAATTTGATCAGTTTTAAGTAACAATCGAGTTCTACAGCACATTGCAGTGCGTTGAAGATATGTTGTTATAACTGACGGTTTACTTCAACATACAACCTGTTACACTTTGGCAAACATTTTGGGTGTGACGGGAGCATCTCCACTTATTTCGTTATATTAAAAAAAAAAATCAAAAGTCAAATAATCATACAGGAAACTACATTCAACCCCAATAACTTCTTCATTTTAGATAATCTAGTATTAATTATATTGACTTATTCTTTTTTTTTTTAAGTATATAATATTTATATACGGCAAATAGAACAAATAAACTCACACACACTCCTCACCTTTAGTGAGATTTGAACCCCTGACCTCCTAAGAGGCAAAAAACTCACATACCGCTAGACCAAAGAAAATAAAGGTAAGTGTGCATTAAGTACCCCGCCTCAAGTGTAGGGCGACAATTTCGTTGGATATAGTTAGGTTGTTTTAGAATTAATTGTTCGTTCAAGTGAATTTAATATCCTCGACAAACTTTTTATAAAATAAAATAGAATCAAACAAACCCAATAAATCCCACTAGGGTTAGGCTGTGTTCAGTAAAAGCTATTTATTAAACTATATGACAATATGAAATGACACAAAAATAAAATATAAAAGGCATTTATTTAAAATATAAGAAAAAGTGAAATAAAAGCCACCTATATTTGAAGTAGTAAAAAACACCGAAATAGGTATAAGTTATAACTATTATCTGATATTAAAAAAAACACCGTAAACGTCATTTGAAGCTCAACCTAGTCGTTTTTTTAAATTTTGTCTTGTCTTGTCACCATACTGAACTTTGTACAAAAAAGTTGTCCAATCCAGTCTTGGTGATGCAATACGACAAGAATGCGAGTTCATAACATGTTTGAGACACCTGAAGGTCAATAGTGTCGATTTTGGCTAAAATCGTGGTGTTTGACCTTCTGGGGTTCCAAACAAGACATAAACTCGCATTCTTGTCGTACTGCATCACCTAGTCATATCCAATGCCATACATACATCTGTGTTTGTCTAGTTCAAATATCAGATGTGCTTATGAACCAAGGTCCAATCCTTATGGTCCGACTGAAGCAACATACATTACTTTGGTTTCTAGCTTTTATTATCAGTAATATTCTAAACCATGTGAAGCAAACTATGATTAATGAAATGATACATGATTTTGATAGGATGCAGCAGTAGCTGTGATATAGCTTGTTGCTACTGTGACATAAAGCGACAACCACCTATTTGCATTAAATGTTGTGAGGATGAACCATAAATTATGGTATGTTCTTGAAACAGAATACAACATAACACAATAAAGTTTTAAAATTTCCTATTTCTATACCATTTTAACTTGTTGATCTTATAACAGATGATGATCGTCCTCCTGCAGAATACAACAAAGGGTTTTTACAACATTTACAAGACCGTCCTCCTCCTTGCCCTGGAAAAAAGTGGAATATATGGTCGTTTTTGAAGCCAAACTCGGATTCTACCCACTCAAGTAGCAGATCGATTTTCTTCACTTGTATATCTGAAAAATTGAATTTTTTTCAGCAATTATAATTGAAGTAACTCTAAAATAGAAGATGATGCCATTGAGGAGAGCTAATTCTTACAAGTAGAAATAAATAAAAGATTGACAGATGGGTTGTTTGGTTTGCGGAATCCCACAAAATTTGATAGGATTGGAATGGAAAATTCCGTTGACCAAATTCCTTGATAATTTTTGGTTTGCGGACAGGATTGATTGGATCCCACTGAATTCCACAGTTGACGGATTTCATCATTCGTTGGCATAAGTGAAGGATTCAAAAACTCCATTTCGTGGCAAATGTAACAAATTTATAATGTGGTTTTGGAAAAAAAAACAAAAATAATATTTGCATCCCATTAACCAGCACGATTACTCCCACCCTGATGTAGCGTCAGTGGTGGACCACGTTTGATTTAGACCTTTGTTGATTCTGAAGAATGTCGAAGATGAATCGATGAACTCGTTTGTTGTTGATTCGAATAATGTAGAAATATAAGTAGGAAAGAATTCAAGAGAACTCAAAAACAAATATTATCAATCTATTTAAAGACTAGAAATCCCAACAAGAAAAGGAAACTGTAATCTTAAACCAGTTCAAACTTTAGATTATGAAGAAAAAAAAACTAAATAAACTCGAAAACGTTCGATTTGGGACCTAAACGTTGGAATTTGGCTAAAATCCCCCTGACGCAAGCACGTTTTGTTTGTAAGGAAGATTCCATCGGAAAACTACACTTTTCTGTACAAATTGACACAGTTGACTTTTTCTACAGCCTTTAGAGCTTTGGATGCTCTATCTGGGCCATGAACCTGCTTTCATGTCGTGTTGCATCACACCCTCACCACCCTCGCCACCGCTCCTACAACCAACATCTTCGCTACCTCTCTCACCCCACCATCGTCATTGCTACCACCACCAATTAATATTATCATTCCACCACCACCCCACCCCACGACCCCTAACCCTGGCCCCACAACGTCGTTATTGTCGTCAAGACAACCCCACCCCTACCCCACCCCAACACATCCTTATTCCATATTTTTAAAAAAAATTATTCCAATTCCTAGCAGTCAGACATACACTCAAATTCCATTCCAATACACCATGTTTCACTTTAAAAAATGTAAACCCAAAAGTAGAAAGCGCTAAATTTGCCAAACAAACCAAAGGATCTTTGGCCTAGCGGCATCTAAGCCTCTTGCCTCTTAGGAGGTCAGGAGTTCAAACCCCACCAATAATAAAAAGGATGTGTGAATATATTTATTGTATTTGCGGTATATAATATATATTATATACAACAAATATTTAATTTTTGCCAAACAAGGCTTAAATTTTGTATTTGAAGTTGAATTATTGTAAATAGTAAGTTGGGCCGGCCCTATGATTTGCTTATTACTACCAGGTACCAGCCCATGTATTATTACATTCTACAATCTACATAGTAGGTTCATTACCGATCGGAAAAAGACGCTCTCAAATTCCGTGGACTCTCGCTTCTTCTCACTCATCGGCCGTCGTGAATCTGTGGATTGTGGAATCTAGAGAAGGAAAGCATCATAAATTGGTAAATTCCTGAAAATTTTGGTCTTACATTCATGTTAGAAAGACTAATTTATGATAAAGTTATGCATTAGGTTTATTTAATGAAATTGAGTTTTGATGATTGATGTTTCTATTTTGAGTTTCGTTTTTTGATTTCTGATTGTTGTTTTGTTGATGCGATGGTGTTTTGACTGAGTTTTTGATTGTATTTGTTGAGGCTTCTGTCTTAGTTTGAATTTAGGAACTTCAACTACACTTTTTGTGTTGATTTGTTTGGAAGTTGCTCCTGAGATTTGTGGAAGTCAAATTGATACAAACTGATAGAGATTTTCAACATTTTGGTTGGACCTGTGTTTTTGAAATGACTGTTTTTGTCTCTGTGATTTATAATTGATTGTGTTTTTTCATACAATTTCTATGGGTCGTTGTTGGTTTCATACATTGTTCATGAATGAACTACTCTGAATCTTCAACGATTTCATGATTTGAAGCTGCATCCTGCAGAACAACGGCCTTTCTCTCGGATGGCGACTGCTATTCTCAAGAAAACCTTCAATTCCTTAAACCCTAACGATATAATCCTCCGATCCCTATCTTCCTATGCCGCAGCTGCTGCAACTAACGCTGGACAACCTCAGACCGACGACACGCCTTCCTCATTCACCTTCTCGCCAGATCAGAATGACGATAGTAATGACAACAGCAAGGGAAATAGCGGTGGCAGCGATGATATATACATCAAGTCTAAGAAACCACCGCCTTCGACCTCAGTGACCATGCCGATGTCGTTCATGACTGGATCAATAGTTGGGAAGAGGTTCTACAAGCAAGTGACGACCAGAGCAGCCGATGACGGTAATGGTTGGTCGGTGATGCTTGATTACAGGACACTTAAAACCCCTTCTAAGAGGCCTCTCAAATGCACTACTCTCGCTCTTGCCAAAGCTATTGCTGCCGAATGGGAGTACCAGGTTCTCCTCTCGGCCAAATTCATATTTCCGCTCTTCATTTTGACTAATTGTTGTAGCATCTTATGAATTACGAGCAGTAATCAACCACCAAATAACAAATCCATGAATAATTTTGTGACATCTTTACATATGTAAACAACCTTTCGATTTAACATCATATTTGTCCATCCAAAGAGCAACTGTTCCAAACACCAATTTCTATTACAAAACATAGTTTAGTTGTTCTTACTACTTGTTGACTCACGTGCGGTGCGGCATTTAAACCTAGACAAGGTTTGATCAAAGTAGGTGTGAAAAATCAGGGAGATGAGATAAGATTGGTAAATTATTAAACTGCCCCTATCAAATTAAAAGCTAAACCCTAAAACTTTGTACAATTCTTCCACTCGTCTACCCAACTCTCGGCATTCTTATCAAGTCTTGTCTAATCCTGTCTATGTAATGTGTACCCGACCTACTCTATATGTTCTTATTATAGAGCCTAGCTTAAGCTCATTTTCAAACCAACTGCATGCCATTTTTTATAAACAAAAAGTGTTTTAAGTAGTATGCAAACCGAGCTTATAACTTGTTTTGAAAATGAATCCCATTTTTCAAAACGAGTAGGGTGAACACATGAACGCCTCTTTTATCACTACTCCAGAAGTAACTAAACAAAAAATACAAGGCTGAGTTCAATGGGAGGAGTTGGGGTTTGTTTCATACTGGCTAAACTGTTTACTACCTGCTGACCACCTCCCTCTTAATGGGTAAGAGGTGGTTATCCGATAAGAAGGGATGTTTACCAACACATCCTGGCCCACAAATATGCTGACCAAGATGCTGACCCAACAAGGAAGGGGTTGCTGTCTGACTCAATTAGTTCTTCAGATCGGTCCTCATACATAGACTGCCCCCCTACTCTATTAGCGGTTACCCAACTTGTGTTGGTAAACAACCCCTTAGATCTTTGTGAGTTAAGATGGTAGCTCTAATTGCAATTAATGGTATATTTAATCAATTAGTTTTATGGGTTAAATTATATAACATAATTTTTGTTGGTTGTAGCTTTCAGATGGAATTAGGCCATTCACGATGCCTCTAATGAAACTTGCATGCACTGCTTTGGAAAGAGTTCCCCTCACTAGGTCGAAGATTATCGATAATTTATTGCAAAGGTTTCATCAAGATTTGGTCTTTTGCCGCGCCCCAGATGATGATGTGTTAACAAGTGGTGTCCATGGTATGTTACTTGCACCTGCATTCTTTCTTAAATTTATCAAATACTTTTTGCATGCTACTATTATACTACCTCCGTCCCAAAATAAATGTCAACGATGGAAAAGACACAATTTTTGAAATGTGTTATTATTTGCACTTTCTAATTAACTAAATGACAATTCTACCATCAACAATAGAGGGAGTAATAAATATTTACATCTCATAATTAAGGTAAAGTTGGAAAGTAGGCACTTACAACTTACAAAAAAGAACATCTGTTGGCTATTTGAGTTTAATGAAGTCTTAAACCCCATAAACCCCAATTTTATTTATGATCTCAAGTTTTCATCTTATTTGATTTTGATGTCTTCACAGTTTACAACAAAAGAATGCTAGTGTTACCAAATTACTATATACCAATCGTTTTTCTTCCAGATGTATGCGATCAAATTCCTAGTGTCTGCCTTTATTTATTTGCTCTTGAATAAATAGCTTTCCTTTATGGCATCATCTTCTACCTTACAGTTGCTTTAGTTACAATTCTTGAAATGTTCAAATTTGCAGAATTACAAGTGAAGAAAATTGATCCTCTACTTGAGTGGGTGGAATCCGAGTTTGGCTTCAAACCCGTCGTATATTCCAGCTTTTTTGGGGGCAAGCAGGAGGATGGTTTTGTAAATGCCATAAAAACCCTTCTTAAAGAAACCAATGATTGTGAACTCGCGGCAATTGATGCACTTGCCTCGGCATCACATTCGTTAATAATTTCCATTGCGATCTTTCGTGGGAAACTACAGATTGAGGAGGCAATTGAATTGATTAGACTCGAAGAAGATATGCAGGTTCTTGCTCTCTCTCGTTGGCCATGTTTGGCACCATAAGCTAACTTATTTTTTAGCTTATTGAACAAGCCTCGTTTGGTTATCAGCGAGCTTTTTGAAACGCTACTTCAAGTAGTTTTTAAATAAGCTCCAGGGAAATCCCCTGGTCTTTTTCCAATTATGCCCTTCACATTTTTCCAGTTAATTTTTTAACATGTTATTTTAGGTCAATGTAACATTTAGGTCATTTTACATTATCATCTAGTTTATTAGCTAGTTTTTTTTTTTTTTACCGAACATGCTTAGTTTGTTGGCAAATAGCTAGCTTATTAGCAAACAACTTGCTTTTTTCGAGGGGCTTTTTTTTTCCTTCCAAGTATGCGCCAATTAATTTGTTAACATGTAGTGTTAAGTCATTTTACATTTTCATCTATATTATTAGCTAGTTTCTATCAAATATCATTAGTTTATCTGCTAGCTAGTTTTTTTTTTCCAAATATCATTAGTTTATCAGTTAGTTTTTACCAAATATTATATTTAGCTTATTAGCCAACAACTAGCCTTTTTCTTGGGGGGTTTTCCCACTTTTTACCAATTATGCCCCCTGTATTTTCCAATTAACGTGTAAACTTGTCCCTTTTGGTCATTTTACATCATCATCTAGCTTATAAACAGGTTTTTACCAAACATGACTATTTATCAGCCAACAGCTAGCATATCAGCTAGTTGCCAAACATATCTTTAATCAGGCTGAAGCTGTAGAGATTCTGACATGGTCTATTGCATCTCAGACTCTTATCATTTTTCAAATCCTTGTCAGGTCGAAAAGTGGGGTCTGGTAGAAGGCGGTCATGATCTTGATGTTGCAGACCTTAAGGTCCAGGTCTCATCTGCTGCTGTTTTCCTCGGCCTTACGAAAAGGTTTGCAAATGGCGTGTAGAATTACCGTTCAATTAACTTGCTCAATTAGATTGTTTCAAAAGCATGCTTGAACATTAGCTATTACGCACACCGATTCTCTTCTTCAACCCACTCAGCCCCACTTCATCAATATTGTTACCATTATATCTTAGAGGTGAACGATGCACAAGCCAGAGGTCTTTATTGAAACAACTGCTCTAGTTTTTGGGGTAGAGGGCACGTCTACTTACATTACACCCTACAGATCCCACCTCCAGGTGGTTTTGGTTAATAAAAGGTGAACAATCTTTATCATCAATTACAATTTTGTAGTTTTGTAAATTGCTCTATAAGTAGAATGTGCTTTCTATATGCAATTACTGTTGGTACTGTTCTTCTGTATTAGGGTTTAGGGTTTAGGATTATAAATAACTCTCCAAACTATGAAAAATGAAAATATATAAATAAAGAACCGTAAGCTTACACCCATCTGAGAAATAACACCGGATGTTCTATGTTTGATCTTACTTTACACCTTCACTTTCTGTAGCAGCATTTTCTTATCTGCTTTTAACAATGCATCAAAATGCAACGAAGTTTGTTTTAGTTCTTGTTTGTTGTAACAAATAATTGTCTTTTTATTTCAATCAATGTGACGAAGTTTCAAAAAAAAAATTTATACCTGTTTTGACTAGTAACCTGACAATCTTGTAACATTTGATGACGTAGGTAACAAGTTTATCGTTCACTTCGCAGGTATCCACATCATCGAATGTCATAAGATCCACATGTTAAAATGGTATAAATAGGAAATTTTGAGCCTTATTGTATTTTGATGTATTTTATTTGAAGATCATACCATAATTTAAGGTTCATCCTCACAGCATTGGATGCAAATAGGTGGGTGTTGCTTTATCTCACAGTAGCAATAAGCTATATCACATATATGAGCTGTTTGGTTGGTTTTTCATCAAGTCTTGTATGAATAAAGTTGTTGATTGTAAGGATCAACTGTATAGATTGAGAGAATTTTTTCGTAATTGAGATAAGTTTGGAAAAACATGAATTTTTGCACAAAGCCCCCCCTCCCCCCCTATAATCTTACAGAATAAGCCAATTTCTATATCATTAAACTACTATCAGACAATCATGTATAGTTGACCGAATAAGCTCTGAGTCCCATTAAGCTCATTAAGCTGCAAACAAACAGGCTTTTATTGCTGCATAATATCAAAATCATGCATCCTTTCATTAATCACACTTTGCTTCACATGTTGGTTTTTAATATTATAATAGAAGCCAGAAACCAAAGTAATACATGTTGTTTCAACTGAGCAGAAAGGATTGGACCTTGGTTCATAGGTGCGTACGATATTGGGATTCGACAGGATTAGACAAGTACCATGTCTTGTACTGGGTCTGATTAGGTGATGCAGTTATGACAAGAATGCGAGTTTATGACCTAATTGGATTGTTATTTAATAACCATACTACATCACATCTTGGATCTATAACTTTTTTCGGGAGTCTTTAAGATGTCCTTTCTTGCGAATCGCAAGACAAACCCTTAGCCACCAAGCTTCGATAACCGACTCTGGTAACAAGCTGGCAAAAGCCCACAATACCGAATGCGTCCAGTATGGCGTGCATCGTGGTTCATAGCCAATATAGCGTATCGCTGCTCGAGCATAACCATCTGGTGATGCAATAAAGAACGAAGACCTTCTGAGCGAAGACATCTTTGTTGCCACATACAAGGGTAGCTATAAACATGTTGCATATACAAACAAACAAAAATACGATTGTTAGAAAATGTTGAACCCTTTTGAATATTTTAGTAGTGCTCTTATAGAGAGAAAGGTTCCTACATATCAGAGATGTACAAAAAAGCCTTTATTCGAAGCTTGACCCAAAAAACATTGGTCCAGCCTAGGCCTCAAAGCCTGGTCTAGCCGAAATTCTCTGGGTTAAAAATGCCAACCTGGAAAAGCCTGAAAAGTCCAGTTAAGCCGGAAAAGCTTGGTTGTGCCTTCTTTTTCAACACCAGAGCTCGGTTCAGGTCTAAAAAAGCTCATACCTTGTGTATCTCTACTATATCTATACAAGTTTGATGGTCCATCACTACAACAAAATGGATTTTATAGAACGTTCAAATAAAGTTGGACGATATAATGATTTCTATTGACGGAGATGTACAACCACGAAAATCAATGACTTAGGGGGTGTTTGGGATTACTTATTTGAAATAACTTATGCTTTTCTACAAAAGCACTTATCAACTTATTATAAGTCAAAAAGGTTTAATTTCTTCAAAAACTCTTTATTACCGGCGTGACACCGATATAAGTTGTTTATTCAAATACTCAAAAGTGCTTATTACAGGTACCCCACCAGAATAAATCAATAAGTTGTTTTTATAAGCAATCCCAAACACCCCTTATTAAACTTTATACACGACATTTTTGACATTTTTATATGAGATTTTAAAAGCATCATGTAAAAATTCTAAGGTGATGATTTACTTGTTATAAACTATTAGGTTGTACAAGTTTGTTAATAGGACTTTTTAGGTTGTCGAACTTTATCTTAACAGCTAATTATTGTAACATTTTTAAATAGGAGCAAAGTTTTTTTGATCCTATGAACTTAAAATCTAATAAAATTCTTTGTTAAAACGTCTGGACGTTTTGAGAAGTCATTTTTGTTGTAGTGCACGTCTAGCAGATAATTAGATTATAACAGTTTCAAAAGCTTTAACACACCTGACACTGGACATCAATGCCACTCTTCTTGTACTCGACATAGAGGCACCTTGAAAACTGGTCGATATACCTGAAATAAATCGATCAACACCAATCGATCATTTCTTCAACTTCAAGATTCTCTCTCTCACACATGTGCGTGCGTGCGTGCGCGTGCACACACACACACACACATATATATATATATATATATATATATAGAGAGAGAGAGAGAGAGGGGGGGGGGGCTTGAGATCATGCAAGACCGGACCGTTTTCATGAGATCTGTGAGACCACTTAAATAACATTGAACCTTCACAATATTTTTGTTGTGAAGGTTTGTTGTTTTTCATACTTTCAAGATGATTTTTTGTGAAGTTTCGTTGTTATTTTATAGTCTCACGAAAACAGATTGGTCTCACGTAAACCCAACCCTATATATAAAGACTTGGGATCATAAGAGACTAGACTATTTTTGTACTTTAGTAGTGTTCTGTTGTGAAGGTCCAATGTTATTGATGTGTTCTCACAGGTCTCTTGAAAATAGTCTAATCTCATATGATCTCAAGTTTGGTTCACGTGAGACCACAAAATAACACTAAAATTTTACAATGAAATATTATGAAGGTACAAAAATCACTAAACATTCACATGTTGATCTCACGTAAACCCAACTCATATACAGACATAAACATATCATTTCAGCAACTTCTAAGATTCATGCAATGAAATGTTTCAAGAAACATATAAACACATCATACACACGAGAAACTGTAAGCAAATTAAAACATAAGTTTCGATAACATGCTTACGCTTTCGTGGCGGCATAAAGTGCATAAAGAGGATCAGACGGGAGAACAACGGTGGCACCCGATCCGATATTAACAATCGCTCCTTTCTTTCTCTTAATCATCGCTCCCAATACAACACCCGTAACTTTCGTCGTCCCTTCGACATTAACCCTAATCAAATCACACAACAATTTATCATCGACTTCGTGAAAGAATCTAGCATAAGGATACGACACCCCAACATTGTTAATCAGAATCCCGACATCTAAACCATCGATTGTTTCCTTAATCTTGTCGATCCCCTGATCTAAATCATGAGAGAAATCGACCACCATAGTCTTGATTTGAGTTTGATTGAATTTACCCCGGATTGTATCCGAAACATCCTTCAGTTTATCCGGGTTCCGACCCACGAGAACCAAATTGAGTCCTTTGCTAGCCAATTGGAAGGCAAAAGCTTTACCGATACCGTCGGTTGGACCCGTTACGAGTGCCCATGACCCGTATTTTTTGAGATTTTTAGGAGGTCTGAGGAAGACAATGAACACCCAATTGAGGATCTTGAGGAAAGATTTAAGAAGAGAGAGAAAACCAAGAAAGAGTAGAAAGAGCATCCATAAAGGTTGGGATTTGAGAGTTTCCATTTTGGATGTAAGAAAATGGGTTTGATTTGAGAAGGGTTAAAAAGGGGAGTGAACTTATCTATTGATAAAGTTATCTGTTCGGATAAATTTATCTGTGTGAGAGATGGAAGATGGATTCTTTTAAGGTATTTATGGTATTAATTTGTCGCGGGTGTCATAACACTGGGACAAGTTAGGGATCCTTGTTTATTTCATATAGTCATTTTAGCTTTATAGCTTGATGATTAAGCCATAAAGAGAACACTCTTATTATCATCTATGACTAAGCGAATAAGCTGTCTGGTTGGTTTTTCATTAAGTCATGTATAGATAAAACTGTTTGTATAGATTAACTTATATGTATGTATTTATTGAGAAAATTTTTGTTTGAGAGTTTTTCATAGATGTAAGAGCGTGCTTTTTATTGGGAAGAGCAAGTTGGGAAAAAAAAACTTGGTCTTCTACATAAAAATCCTCTTAGAAAATTACTGAATAAGCCACTATTTATATATCATTAAACCATTACCAAAGAGTTACAAATAACTGTCCGAATAAGTTGTTAAATTGCTAACAAACATGCCCTTAAGTCAGCCAGACCATTTAGTTCATTAAATTATAAGTAAACAACCTCCATAGAAGGTCATTTGTTCAAATGATAGATTATATGGGTTATTTAGCTAAATGACTTTCTTGGAAACCACATTTAAATATCTAACCTTGTGACGTATTTATGAGTTTACACAACAAAAACCAAGAACAGGTGAGATATAAATTACTAAACTAAATTTTCTTTTAAAAGATTAAAAATAAAATCTGAGTTAAAATCATTTATCTAAAATAATGGGATTCACATATGAATAAGGGTTTAGATAAAGAAAGACATCAATTATTCACATGAATTAGATCATGTGCAACATGGTGAACTCCTCGTGAAAGTATTGAAATCAAAGTAAAATAGATGCTACATTTCGAAAGAGTTGTTGCCTTATTTTTGTCTTTTTGTACAAACTATTGCGTCATATTTAAATCCGTTGTCCGTAAACTTTGTTCTAATATCAAAGCTTCGATATAAAGATAACGACGACATAATATATATATACACACACAAAAGAAAGGTATTCACGTAATACAGCAAGATTCATCTTTATTTTAATGTTCCGTTTTATTTTTTGTCTTTGTTGATATAGTACGATTTATGTAGTTTTAATAAAAGTAATGTTTTTACTTTTGAATAAAAATATATTTGAAGATATCATAAATATTTTAAACAAAATATCGATATTAATATCAGATTAACTATTTAGAAGTTCTTGTTTTTTATACAAATGATTATCCTAGTTATAATTTAATTTTTTTAATCTAAAATAAAATGTTTATCCTGTTTTTGATTATGTTTATTTGCAGTTAGTTATACGAATTCAAAATGAAGCTTTAATAAGTTGTAATTACGCACAATTTACTTGTAATCTTAAATTTTAAGTAATATTCATTAGTAAACAGTACTTCATGCATAAAAAATAGTTTTTAAGAATTTTCGTCAAATATTTTATAATATAAAGGTGGATTTAGATTTTCTTTTTCTACAAAATATTTACCATAATATAAAAAAATTAATTGTAGTTATAAAATACAATAAAAAACACGAAGAAATCTGATCTAATTTCGACAGTTTATGGTTAAGATTTTGTGTTCCATTACCGTTAACCATCAAAATTCAAATTTAAGCTTTGATATATCATTCGTAGCTTCTTAATTTTTCCGTGACGATGCACCATAGTGACAATCTTGACATTTTAAAAAGTCGTAAAATTTTCCACTACGTCGTCAACACCACAGGCAAATCTACAGCCAATAGTTGCGGGTCACTGTCATCCATTATCCAGTTCACCTATTATGGTCTATACCATCAGTCTTTCTCTTTTTGATCTGTTTTTTTTTTTTTTATAGTTGTAATTTATAATTTTGAAGAAATTTTTTATATGTTTTATTTAATTTATCCAAATTAATGATAATTTTGTTTTAAAAAATTAAATTTATTTTGTGATAATGTTATTAAAATAATAATAAATTAATATCATTATCATTTAGAAGGTACTTAAAAAGAGCCGTTTTCAATGTATTTAGTGGGGGAAAAAAATACTTGCCATAACCATTTCTTAAATTTAAGAGTAAACTACGAATTTGGTCCCTGTAGTATGTCGAAAAGTACATTTCAGTCCCTACAGTTTTGGAATTATAAAATTTCCATCATAGTTTATAAAAATGTTCAGATTTAATCTTAACGGTCGTTAAAAATTTCAGTTAAGTAAGAAACATTTTCAATATTTAATCAATTTTTTTTCCTTTTAACCAATCAAAATCGATTTTATAATTTAATCTGCAGTGTTTTCGATCAGGTAAATGATGAAAATATCCCTTGTTTTAACAGAATTGTTTAACGATCGTTAGTGAAAGAAACCGATTTTTATAGTTTACTCTCAATTAAATTTATATCTTAATAGCATTTAATTTCAAGATTTCTTGAAATCCCATTTTCCTTTTGATAAAGGAATGTATACACTAAATCCTAATCACACTTATCTATCTCTCTCTCTCTATACGTATATATACACACACACACTATATATATATATATACACACACTCTCTATACGTATATATACACACACTCTCTCTTTATACGTATAAATTGTAAGCATTTTCTTTGAGATTAACCACTGCTTTCTATCAACGTTCCTCCATCGTCAAAGTTTGAAGTTACTGGTAATCTTTTTCATCTCTCTCTAACAGTTATTAAATGTATATACATTGCAAATCGATTTTTGTTCATAAAGGAGAGCGCGACGTGTGTTTTGATGTCCAATATGAATATAACGGTGGTGAACGTTCATGATGAATGATACAACATTCGGTATCATTCATCATGAATAGTTCATGAACGCTCACCTTCATTATTCATACTGAATGTGGACACCATAGACACGTTTTGCGCCCTTATATATATGTGTGTGTATATATGTATGTATATATGTTTATATTGGTGTAATTTGATGTGTGTGTGTATATATATGTATGTATATATGTTTATATTGGTGTAATTTGATGTGTGCATGTTGCTGTTGTCGTGGACAGATTTGAAGATCATGGGAAGGGCAAAGGTGGTGATGGAACCCATAAACAACAACAAGAAACGCAACCTCACATTCCTTAGAAGAAAAGAAGGGATCATCAAGAAAGCCGTCGAGCTCGCTACCCTCTGTGATGTCGATCTCTCCATGATCGTCTTCGCCGATAAAGATCAAGAACCCGAGATTTTCCCTCCCGATCCTCGTAAATTCAACAACTTGATCGATCTTTACAGACGAAAACGCACTACAGAGCCTCGGAAAGTTGGATCCTGTGACGTACATGATTTCTTTACGAAAAGAAACCTCAAGATGGAAGAAGAACTCGCGAAGGCCAAGAAGAAGAACTCGGAAGCAGAACGCCCGACGTGGTTTGAGTTCTTGAATGATTCCTCAGAAGAGGAATTACGAGAGTTTGCGTTAGGGTTGGGTAGTAAAATCGATCATGTTAAGACCAAGATCGAATCTCTCAAGGAAATTCCGATGATCGATCAGAATCTTGATCATTGCCCATTTCACCCAAACACACTGAACCCTATGATTCCGATGGATTACAACAACCTTCGGTTTGATCCGACTGATCAATGTAACTTGAGCGAGAACCCGCCAAACCTTCTAACAGACTTGTTGATGAAAGAAGATGATAACGACTTTTACGATTTCGAGAGCTTGATCAACATTCCACCTCCGCCACGGCCGCCGCTAGGGTGTTCGTTTCCTCCACCGATGCTGCCACTGCCGGAATTAGCACCGCCCTTCGTGCACGATAAACCATTTTCAATGTCGGATTTCCCGTCACAAATGATGGAGTACAACAACTTTGGGTTTGATTCTGTGGAGCTATCATGTGGTGATCAATGTGACTTGATGATCCAACCATCCCCAAATTCTGCAACGGAGTTGCCGATGAGCGAAGACTGGTGTAATCATGATCGGGACTTCAACGTTCAACCACTGCCGGTGGCGGATTCCGTTCTGCCACCACCACAGCTGCAGCCGGAATTAGCACCGCCTTTCGTGCACGATGAACCATTTTCAATGTCGGATTTCCCGTCACGAATGATGGAATACAACAACTTTGGGTTTGATTCTGTTGAGCTATCATGTGGTGATCAATGTGACTTGATGATCAACCAACCATCAAACCCGAACTCTGTAACGGAGATGCCGATGAGCGAAGACTTAAACGACTGGTGTAATTATGATCGGGACTTCAACGTTCAACCACTGCCGGTGGCGGATTCCGTTCTGCCACCACCACAGCCGCAGCCGCAGCCGCAGCCGGAAGCAGCATCTGTCATGCACCGGAACCCGTTCTTCGTGTTCGATTAGTTAATTTCTCTTTCATATGTAATCATAGATTAGAATTACTTAGTTTATGTAATTAGTCATGAAATTTACTGTGGATATTGTTACCTCTTATTTGTCTCTTATTGTTCTTCAAACTTCTAACAATAGCGTTTATTAACCTTAATCAATCATTTCTCTCAATTGATCATTTACCAAATCAATCCTTAGATCTATCAATTGGTGTATTTTAATATGATTTAAATGTGGTAAATACCGTTTAATGGCGTATTTTCGTTTAAATGAATGTCAATTACATAAGTGAAATAAAACTTCAGTTTACAAAAAAACAAACAATCTTATATTGATTCATATTTCAGACTTTAGCAACACATCTTATTAATAAGAAGTGAAATAAATAAAACTTCAAACTTCAATACCTTCGATTTGGTTTGAGTCTGATGGGGTTTTCAGGGTGGATAAGATGACCAGAGAACATCTAGTCGGAGATGGTGGCCGAAAGAGTTCAGGCTCTTGCAGTTGGCTCCTGCAGAATGGCGTGTGCGATTGTGTTTGTGTATATATATATATATAGGTAGTATAAAATAAA